TTATACTCAAAGTGGACAATATCATACCATCGTGGAGAGTCGTGTTCATTTAACAGTTTGAAGGTGCATCTTGTTAGTATAAATAATCACTTTCAATTTTTTTAAAAACGCTTTCATTTAGAATGGTCTCAATTTATTCATTAATCCCTCCTTTACTCCGAGTGTTAATATATATTTCAAAAGCTACTTGAGAAATGAATTAATTATCAAGCAATCGTATATATATTCCAAAAATAAAGGTTAGGGACAGAATATAACAATCTTGTGGGTAAGGATGAGAATATTCCTCCAACCTAATTAATAAGCTTTAGTTTGCGAATATAGTAATGGGTCTAATTTTTTTTATCACTTTATTTAAAGAAAAGATAAATTACACCAAAGAAATGTCTTCATAATGTAGGACCATGTAAATATTTCTTTGCACTTTTTTTTTTTTTTTTTTGTATTAATAGTATTCCACTTTAAATTACACTACATTTTATCTTCATAATTTCCTAGAAAATCTACCCTATATATTTTTTGTCTCATTTATTAAATTCGTAAACTTTAGTGGTATACTCTGAGATCTCATATGTATTGAAGATGGACGAAACACTCTTTATAAGAATGTGAAAACCTCTTCCTAAAAGACGTGTTTTATAAGTAATAGGTCAAAGCAGACATAGAGGTACAGTCGAGAACAAAAATAAATAAATAAATAATAGTCAATTTTCTTTGTTTTTCGGGTTCCATGTCTTTCTTCTTCTTTTCGTTTTTAATTTTTAATATGATTTTTTTTTTGTTATATTATTTGTGTTTCATATTGTCTTCTTTTTCGTTATTTATTATGTATTTTATTTTTCTGGATAAAAATATTGTTTTTATCTACCATTTTAGAGATTTCAAATAGTTTATTGAGGAGTTGGTAGAAGAGAAATAGAGAATAAATGATAATAAATTGAAATATACTTATGTTTCTAACAAGAGTGTGAAATAAATTAATTATATTCGATTTTTTAAAAATTATAACATGTATTTATGAAAATTATAGTTGAAATTAATTGCTAAATAAATTTAAAGGATAAACAAAACCCTAAATCATATGGCTCCTTAATATTTGCGAAGAACATAAAAAAATAACATGAGAATGAGAATGGTAAATTTGAATCTTCCCAAAGACAATTTTTGTTATAATGAGAAGATTGTTAGGCTTTATAGAGAAACATAAAAGAACTGACACTACATAGTTTGTTGGGTCGAGACTTAGGGAGAGAATGTGAGATAATTGAAATGCTACAATGTATAGCGTCTCTATGTTCAGGTTAACATCGCGACACCACGTCAAGCATGCATGGATGGTGATGATTTCCTGAAATCTCTCTATATATATATATTCCTTTTGTTTCCTTGGACTACTACTAATCTTTGATGCATGTGTAAAGATGAATTGAAAAGACAAAAAAAAAAAAAAAAAAAAAAAAAAAAAAAAAAAAAAAAAAAAAAAAAAAAAAAAAAAAAAAAAAAAAAAAAAAAAAAAAAAAGACATTGTAATATTTTGTGTCGGTGACAAAAGTGAGGAAGGTTGTTGGTGCATGCACATATCACGACCCACTTTGACCTTTCTCTTTTTCTTTTTGTCTCCTTTCTTTCCCTTCTCAATAACTACATAGGCAGTGGAAACCAGACCAAAACAACGCAACAATATACTCTTATCTCTCTCTCATTTCCATTTTCTCTAACCCCTCAACCTCCATCTTTTCTTCTCATATCATGTCTCTATCCTTTTCTACCAACCCAGCCTCCATCCGGAGCCTCAAACACTTCTCCGACGAGGCGGTCGCCAGATCCATCTATGCTAGACACCGTGATGGCAAAAAAATCAAATTCGATATCGATAATTATATCGCACTGGTTGATAGCATCATTACAACTGCAGATCGAATTACCAAAGTAAGCATTTTCATTTATTACTATCTTCCATTTACATTTTCCCCCAATTTTATGTATTTTTTTGTATAATCAATTGTAGGGTAACAAAGAAGGTTTCAAATTCTCAGATGATTTCTTGAACGTTGATCCTCCAATTTTTACTCTTAATCAGATATCAACTGAGGTAAGTATAAGAAAACGACTTACCTTGTTGCGTGATCTACATTTAGTTTTATATGTATCACATTTAATGTTTGTTTGGATTTAGTGCTTAACAACAACAAGAAAGAAAGAAAGAAAAAAAAAAGGCTTTCTCAATAATCAATTTAATGATGATTATTTGAAAGAAAAAAAATCTAAAGCAATTTTCAATCAATTAGTATTAATTTTACTTGTTGTAATCGCTTAAAGCGAGTGATAGATATTATCGACTTTAACTTGTTATCTCGTCAATCTCATGATTTAAAAATGTATCTTCTAGAGAGAGGTTTCCACACTTTTATAAGAAATGAATGAATATTTCGTTCTTCTCTCCAACTAATGTGCTCTAAGCATTTCTTATAAATATGTAGAAACACTTTCCTAGTTGACGTATTTTAAAATTGTGAGGCTGATAATGATACGTAATGGGCTAAAACAGAGAATAATATTACCATTGTATTCGAACACATGAAGTGCATATTTGAAAGTATTTTTAACAAATGGATTCCAAACCAGATCTACTAACCACGAGTGGAATTTGATGTTTCTTAGTTGACACGTAAAGCTCCAGGAATAGAGAAAGCTCACCAAACAACACTAAACATTCTTGAGATATTGGTAAGTTACCCATGGGAGGCCAAAGCAGTGCTAACATTGACTGCTTTTGCCACTGAATATGGAGACATATGGCACCTCAACCATTACTCATTGTTGGATCCACTTGCAAACTCCTTGTCAATGATCAAAGGAGTCCCATTCCTAAAGAAGCAACTAAACTCCATCAAATATCGACAAGTGCTTCTTTGCCCCAACAGTTTAATCTATAGTTGCTTACGAGCCATCAAATACATGAGTCAACTCAAGAAACACTTCAAACATGATGTAAACCAACTTTCGGAGTTATCTTCAGCCTTTTCTCGACAAATTCCATTGGTTTCTTATTGGGTAATACACATTATTGTTGCGGCTCAATTCGAGATCTCAAGTTATTTGAATGACACTGAGTAAGTATTGAAGTATTTTAAAGTTTAAACGACTAAATAGACACAAATTTCAAACTTCAGATATTTTTGTACAAATCTTTCGAATGGTTGAATAAATTTAAGGCTTTTAATTCTGATTATCTTTATTTATTTGGACTTGAGTAGAATACGAATATCAAAGTGTTTAAGCAACTTATTGAGTTTTGTGGTTTTATTTTTCAGGGGTCAACCACAAAATTACTTGGATGAATTATCTGAAAAGATCGATTCAATACTTAATACGCTGGGTAGTTATCTCAACATCGTTTGAGAGGAACGGTGTTAGAGCTAAATAAAATTACTCCACCTTCTAAATTTTTGTTTTAACATTTGTTGCATCTAGAAAGAAGGGACAAAAGAAAATATTGGTCTTTTTCTTTTCCATCCTAGTTCGTAGAATATGAACTTTGTACTCTACTTTGTGTTATGTGTACTAATTATATCAATAATCATTTTATTTTTTAGTTGGTAAAGATTTTGTTTGTAATTTTCTATGTTTTATTATACATGTCGAGGATGGTTGGAGTGTTACGTTGGCTATTTAAGGAAGAATTATTCTTAAAATGAACAATATCATACCAATGTGGAGATTAGTTGATCATTTCCCTCCTATAAGAGTCGTGTCCTTGTCTTAATTTAGTCATCTCAATAAAATCCTCTAATGTCAAACAATGAAATTGTGAGCCTCGAAAGTGAAGTCACAATAACTCATGTGAAGAAGTTGTGAGCCGATTTAATAGAATCAAACTCCAAGAATGTCTCTCAAATGTAAAAGAAAACTTAAATAAGAACTCAAAATTCATACATTCTGTTCTTACCTAATTCTTGACGAAATTGTGTGATTCAAAAGTTCAAAATGGTTCTCCCAAAACCCTTGATTATTTCTTGTGACAGAACTCTTGAACATTTACGGCTTCAATTCGTCGTTTGGAGCAGATTTCGACTTTCTCACTACAAACTTTAAGCCCTCTTTTTTCTACTCTCTTAAAAAAAAAAGATTCAACATTATACATGATCATAAACTTCTACAAAGTTTGTGATTTAAAATCAAATATAAAAAATATATATATATACTTTGAGGCCATGATCATTCATATTTTATTTTGGAACCTTTTATTTTCATATATTTGAGACAAATACAAAGTTAAAAAATATTTTTATTAATTTAGCAATTCAATAACTCGTAAGCAATCACTCTCTTCTACATGGTAAAATCCTAACCAATAATTAAAAAAAATTACGCACTCCCTTCCATTTGCCACTTCATAATAGTCAAAGGTAAATTGTAACGTCTTATATCCCAAGTTTAAATTAAGATTCGAAATTCAAATTTGGCACTGTGTCCTGATATTCACCTACATTCCTTGCGACATGATCATGTTCTTTCAACATTCTTCGTTCTCAATCATATATTTTTATAGGAAATTTTCATAAAATCACTTAACATGGAATTATTCAAATAAAGCTAGTTGTCTTATTTCAAGAATCGTTCTCTTATACTTGAGTATAGTACTAGTAGTTCATTTATGCACACTTATTGAATACTTTAAAACTCTTTTTTAAGTTATATTATTATCGTTACAAGTACCCTACAATCATTTATATTTATTCCAAACGTGATGCATGCCGATTTTCTTCCCTTTTAGTAAAACCTACAAAATTCAAGTTCAATCTATATTGGATATGGACCCACTTTTACGGCTTGTCAGCTAAAGCTCTCACTCAGCCAGCTAGCTATACACAATATTCCTTTATTCAGACAAAGAAAAGGACAGCGTTTTCATGAAGGTATCGCTTCTTCTTCACCTTTATCTCCCCTTTCATCACTTATCAAGACCTATAAATAAGACACCAAATTAAGAGCAAATGCCACAACAACTTCTTCCTATTTACATTTGCTCTTAGTTTCCCAATCCCTCCTTTGTGAAATCATGTCTCTATCCGTTCCCAACAACCCCATTGCTTCATTGCACCATCCAAAGCTTTCAACCTCCACCAAGGACGACCAAAGCATAAGGCACTTATCCGACGAGACGGTGACCGGCCACATTTATACTAAACATCGTGAGGACGATAGTGTCAGGATCGACGTCGATAATTACATTGCACTTGTTGAAAGTATCATCTCAACTGCTGACCGAATCACCGAAACTGTTACTCACGTACCCATTTCTATCTATCATCGTCTAATTTCTATCTTTCGAGCTTAGTTTATATATGTATGTGATTGATCCATAACGAAAATTGTAGGGCACCGAGGGCCGTTTGATATTCTCAGACGATTTTTTGAAGGTCAATGTTGTTGATCCACCACTTTGCACCCTTCACAAAGTGTCAAGCCAGGTCATTCTCAAAAATTAATTTTTAACTAATGATGCAACTGGTTAACAGATATCGCCATCGATCAAATGATTAAGTGTTGGAATATTTCCAAATCATTTTCATGTTTTGTTCCACCATTTTGAAACATACAAGAACTTTAGGTTAAGAAAAGAAGTTAGCATGGGACAATCATAGACGTATTAATTGGTGAAATGAATTGTGTATCAGCTGTCGTGCAAAGCTCCAGGTATAGAACAAGCGCACAAAACGACCCTTGACATTCTTGATATATTGGTAAGCTACTCATGGGAGGCCAAAGCAGTGCTAACATTGACTGCTTTTGCGGCTGAATACGGAGACATATGGCACCTCAACCATTACTCATCGTTGGATCCACTCGCAAAATCATTGTCAATGATCAAGCGAGTTCCTTTGTTGAAGAAGCAATTGGAGGGTATGAAGTACCGGCAAGTGCTACTTAGCCCCAACAGTTTGATCTACAGCTGCTTGCGGGCCATGAAATACATTACCCAACTCAAGAACTTCTCCAAATATGATACCAAAGAACTGTCGGAGTTATCTTCCGTCCTTCGCCAAATTCCTTTGGTTTCCTATTGGATTATTCACATTATCGTTGCTGCCCGAATTGAGATTTCAAGTTACTTGAATGAGACCGAGTAAGTTCGTAATTTGAATTTATTTTAATTTTTTAAAAATAAAACAATGTAGCTTTTCAAGCTTATTAAAGTTGTTGCCAAATTTATTTGATTCTTCAATCAACTCAACGATTTTGTAATAAGATTTTCAGGGGTCAATCACAAAAGTATCTGAATGAGTTGGCCGAAAAGATCAACTCTATACTCAATATGCTTGAAATTCATCTCAACACCATTCGGATACAACAAGGTCAATTTTCAACTTTGATCATGTTTGTAAAACAAAGATACTAAAATATCTTTGGACGAGGAATGATTAACGAAACTTTTGCCATTTAAGTTCATATGCATTCTCAATTGCTAACTTCAAAACCATATGTTGTTTCTATATAATATTATGGATGCAGAGGAGATTGATCTTTATAGATGGCTTGTGGATCACATTGATAATTTTCCCACTGAGATAACTTTAGTTCTGCCTAAGCTTGTTGAAGGCAAGGTCGAGGCAAAGCCTTTCATAGATGGTTCGACTCGATTGCAGGTCTTTGCCTTACAATTTTATAGTACAAACAAACATTTTATTTTTATAATTAGATATATATTTAACATACACACGTGACATCTTATGCGTTTGCAGGTTAGTGTTGAAGATGGTTTGAGAGACAAGAATGTGATCTTGTTAATTTCTGGATTAGATATCTCCGAGGATGATATTAGAGCTCTTCATTTAGTTTACAATGAAGTGAGAAAGGAGGATAAATATAAGATTGTTTGGATTCCAGTTATTCATGAACATTCTCCCGAACATTCTCAAGAGGAAGAAGAAGAAGCTCGAAAGAAATATGAGTACTTGAGCTCTTTAATGAAGTGGTACATTGTGCCATACACAACAAAGATTGCAGGTTGGAGGTATCTTGAGGAGAATTGGCAACTTAGACAAGACCCATTGGTTGTTGTTATGAACTCCCAATCGAGAGTTGAATTTACAAATGCAATCCATTTAATCCGAGTTTGGGGCACTGAAGCCATTCCGTTCACGAATGGAAGAACTCATGCTTTATTGGAAAAGAATTGGCCTGAGTCCACCCTTCTAAAATTTATTGAGCAACCAAGATTGCGAAGTTGGGTACGTAAATATAACGTTTTTGTCATTAATTCCCACATATTTATGTGTTTAGCGATGTTGTTTTGACTAGTACTTCATGTCTTGACATATCAAATATTTCATCTTTTGTTAGGTCAATCAAGATAGGGCCATCATATTTTATGGAGGAAAAGATCCTAATTGGATCCAACAGTTCGAAGAGAAAGTAGTAGAAATTAAGAACGACCCATATATTAAAGATAAGGGAAATACATTTGAAATTGTTCGTGTGGGAAAGAAAATCAATGAGGTGAATGATTTTGCATTGACACCTCTTTTTTGGATCACACAATGGGGTTACTTCGTAATCAAGAGTCAATTGAAAGGTTCAAGTGCAGCTGAAACAACTGAAGATATCTTACGACTAATATCTTATGAAAATGAAAATGGTTGGGCAGTTTTAGCAGTTGGCTCAGCTCCATTGCTCGTAGGTCGAGGCAATTTGATTTTGGGAGTTCTGGAAGATTTTAACAAATGGAAAAGAAATTTGAACATAGAAGCCTTCCCGGATGCCTTTAAAGACTACTTCAACGAGTTAAATCTCAAATTTCACACTTGTGAAAGAATGACACTTCCTGGATTTAGTGGGTGGATTCCAATGATAGTAAACTGTCCTGAATGTCCTCGCTTCATGGAGACTGGTATAAGCTTCAAATGTAACCACGGGCGCCCTGAGCTCTAAGATGTCAAGCATACTTTATAAAACTATATGTACTACTACTAAATAATATGAGGTGATCCGACAATATGGAATTGTACTATCTGTATCGTCAAGTTTGAGCCTGTTAGGCTACCACTAAACTAAACGTTATTATTTCTTTTATTGATGAAAGCCTTCATTCTTCCTTCTCTTCTACTTAGTTTTTAAAAGAATTACTTTCAAATGAGGTTTTTCCATTTGAAATGAAAACGTTCATTACTACAAACATTCATTACCCATGTCGTGGAGTGATGAGAAAAAAATTTCATACCCATTTTAAGGTTTTAAAAATTTTGTGTGTGAGGGAAATTACCTATGTTCCACTCCTTGCAACCGGTTTTCCCTGAACAATCTAATGGATCTAAAACAACTCAACAACAATAACACAATTACAACCAAACCAACAAACCTGTTGAGGATTATTGGGACTAGGGAGTCACACATTAGTTAATTTAGTGGAAGATTATGTTTATAAGTAAGGGATACTATCTCCATTGGTATGAGGGCTTTGGGGGAAGCCCAAAGCAAAGCAATGAGAGCTTATGCTCAAAGTTGACAATATACCATTGTGGAGAGTCGTGATTCATAACATGGTATCAGAATCATGCCCTAAACTTAAACATGTCAATAGAATCCTCAAATATGAAACAAAGAATTGTGAGCCTCGAAGGTGTAGTCAAAAAGTGACTAAAGTGACGAACAAAAGGTGTACTTTGTTCGAAGACTTCAGAGAGCTCTAGAGAAAGGAGTCGAGCCTCGATTAAGGGGAGGCTATTCAAGAGCTCCATAAGCTTAAGGGGATGATTATTTGGAGTAGGGAGTCTCATCCCACCTTGGTTAATTTAGTGGAAGATCATGTTTATAAGTGGAGAAATATTATCGTAGATCATACCATTTGTTCATGAAAAGTGAAGAATAAGTATATAAAGGTGAAGAAGAATCAATAACTTGAGGAAAACGTTGTCTTTTTTTTTTTTATCTCAATTAAAGAATATTGCATGCTAGGTAGCTGGTGGAGTAAGAGCTTTAGCTAACAAGCCGTGAAAGTGGGTCCATACGTTATGAATTGTCCTTCATCTGGTGGCTTTATGTATATGTTATGCCTGAGGGGGAGCAAATCTTCAAGCATCTAAGTTTGGAATAAATAAACCAACGAATCTTATGCTTTGCTTTCGTTCGTATTGGATTTGAATCAGCCAGATCAGTAGCAAATTTGTATATGAGAAAAATCATTCGTAATTGTAAGATAAAAAAGATGTTACGCTCCAAATTTTGAGGCATCAAAAGATAGGATGTGACTAATCAAATTATGCCATACAAGATTAATGAATGACGAAGAAAACCAAACATGAAATTACTTTATAACATTGTTTGCAATACCAAAGTAAAATGGAAGACATGCTTAGATGTATTAGATGTATGTTATGTTCATAATATGTGGACTAGACGGACCTTCTAAGTCAACATTTTATTCTCAAACATCCTATTTTAGACCCTCCTATTTTTAGTTATTATAATAAAACTTCAATTGGAGCTGAAATAGTTTATAGATAAGGAAGAAAAATAGTAAAAATATTTTATAAATCTTTTTCAAAGATATATATGGTAATCGTAATGTTCATCTAAAATTTAATGAAAGTTTTTTTTTCTTTATTAATATTTTTGAAAAGTTTGGGATATTATAAAGTATAATTGAAACGAAATTCTAACATTTTTAATCCAAAAGTTAATGATAAAGATATTTTTTTTAGATATTTGTTAATTGTTTTAATGGTAGGAGGCATTATTAAAACAAAAATCATTATCTATGAGTATTTTTTATAATTCAGCCCAAGAAAAATAATATCATTAAAATTAAGAAGTTCACTAATTTCAAAAACTATTTGGTATATTTAAAATAACTAATAAATTGAAAACAATATACATTTTCGATCTAAAAGGTTTGAATCTCTTTGTATAAAGTTTATACAGAGAAAGAGAAAAAAAAAAAAAAAAAAAAAAAAAAAAAAAAAAAAAAAAAAAAAAAAAAAAAAAAAAAAAAAAAA